AACTGTACTCTCTAATTTTCTTTTTCTATTTTGAATCATTATGATTAAACTATCATTAAGTATTTACCAAATCAAGTTGTTTTCCATCGGAAGAAAGTAATTTAACATAGGCACCACCACATTCTTGATTTGTTTGATATTTGACTTCATACTGAACCACAAGTGGACTTGTTGAAAAATCAAATGGTTTTAAGAGATTCGAACTTATGGCATGATGTCTTGCTTTAGACTAAAAAAAATAAATAAAAAAATATTTATTTATTATTTATTTATTTATTTATTAATCATAATTGTTTACTTTTAAAATTAATGCATAATCATCATAATAAGCTGATGATTGGGGAATTTCTAAAGCCCATTCACCATCATATTTTGCTAAAACTTCATCAACACCATCTTTTTTTGCTTGTGATTTAACCCATCGTGACCATTTTGATTTATCTTGAAATTGTTCTTCAAAATAAATATTTGATGATGAAGACTTGATTGTTGGTACATTAGTTTTTTCAATAGTTGGTGATGATGATGATGTTGCTGGAGCATCATCAATAGCTACTTCCTCATCAATATCATCATCATTAGCTTTTAATATTGAAATATTTAATAGACAAATTAATAATATTAATATTGTATAACGCATGGTAATCTAAAATAGAGAATTTTCTTTAGTTAATTAGAAATACAAAAAAAAAAAAATGAGGCGCCATCGATGTTGAATAATGAAGGTCAAGAATAAGCATTGTACCTTTTGTGTTCGTGAAGCCAACTGATTGATCGTTCTTTTTTAAATGGTTATGAGTGTTGGTAATCAACTATTGGATGAAATAACATTTTGATAACGAAAATGTTATTTCATTTTTCTTTGAAGGTTTTTTATGTAAATCTTTTTCATTTTAATAATATAATTGAAAATTTTACTTTATTTAATAGAATAAAATTTTAAAAAAATTCTTTCTTTTTTCGATTGTAAGAAGTGCCATCTAGAGAATTAAGATAGATTGGTAATGAAAATACCAATAAGATAATTAATGTTATACGTATGCAATGCAAGTACTAGAGACGGCGCTAGGGTTCTGTTTTAGGGTACGTTGAGTCCCCTCAAGGTTTTTATAATTAAAACAAGAGAAAAAAAAAACACTTTCTTGTTTTTCTTCTAAGTAAGCGAAAATTACTATTGGATTTCGATCGAAATATGAAGTGCGGTAATTATTTTAAGTGGATTTACTACTTTTTTTCTCAAGCTTGGAATCAAAAGATGTTTTTATAATAAGAATATATGGGACTTTGAATTCTTTTTCAACAAAAATAACAACTAGAAAAATTATGTAGACTCTATCGGCTCATATCTTCGTTTATTGAAAGATAATTGCCGGCTGCATGATCAATTGAATATAGATTCTTGAAATATGAAATCTTCTTACATTTCGTACGAAATTGATTAGAGAAATTATAGAATTTTCACATGTAAAGCTACGAAAAAAGAATCAAGATTTTGTTTTAATGAAACAAAACGTCAATTTTCCACTTCAATCTTTTCTACCTCGAAACATTTCGAAAAATATCTAATTTTCTTACTCGATATGAATTTACTTATCGCATATATAGTTAAAAGACTGAAATGCTTTTAAGCACAGTCGATCATTCGACAATATGAAATATTATTTAGCTTTGTTTCTATTATGAAATAAAATAAACTGTAAAACGTATAAGGTAAAACTATGCTATTATTAGAACTCAACGAGTCCAAAAAAAAAAATATCCGAAGCCGCCTATTCGATTAGTTAAAACGAAAAACAACGGTTCTAATTTTGTGTTCCTAAAAAGTGTTTTTGGAACCAATGGTCTAATAATAGTATATCAGATAATTGATGCAATAAGTTTTTCTAGATATTTGTAAATTATGCTTCTTTTTTTTTCGAGATTGTTAATATCTATTATTTTTGAAAAATAATGTCGACAGATAAAAATAACACAGAGAAAGAATAAGAAAATCATGACTATTTTTTTTAGTGTATACTTAATCTTTTCTTTAATAAAGCCTCATACTAAAATGAAACTTATTGTAATAATTGTAGGTGCCTAGTTACATGAGAAAAGAATTTTAATTTCGTTCTTAGTTAGAACTAAGGTAATTTTACTATATTGGTAATATCTTTTTTTTCTAGCATCTTTTGCATCTCTAATGGCGTTCAGTCGACTCGACTAATAAATTTTGTTCTTTTTTCTTAATTTAATAGAAGATAGAAATCTCGTAATTCTTTAATTGATTTTCTTCTTTTCGCTAGTCTTGAGACATCCATTAAGTAAAAAAAAATCCTCTGTTAGGCTGAGAGATCTTATGAAAAAAGCCAAATTCAGTTAAAATATTCTTCAGAGAGAAACATTTTTTTGCTTTGATGAAAGTTATTTTTTTTTTTGGAAAAATCAGCTTTCAAACAGAAAATCATCTGTTATGGCAAAAAGTTCATTTTTAACAGAGATATGATTATGAAAGTACATATCGGCCTATTTAACCATACCTTTTCTGGAAAATTTTTCCTTCGACTTTAGTTTATGTAACACTCGATTAGTCTTCCTGTTACCAGTAAAAAGTTTTTGGTTCCAACGGTTCTATGCGCTTTTATTTCATAGCTCCAATTTCGATTCCATTTCTTCTGGAACTGTCGGGTTCTACCTATTATTCTTGAGATTATTGGGAAGAGTTTTAAGTATATCATTTGCTCAATGTTTATTTCAAGGATACATTCCTGTAATAGAAATGTCAAAATAATAGAATTCCTGTTACTCATTGGTTTTAGCTATCATTGTATTTATAAATCCGTTTGATTGATCAGAAAAATGTTTTATAAATGTTTGTAGTAGAACATTTCCATGGTGAGCTCAGCTCATCCTTACCGGCATTGCTAGTACATATGTTTAAGGGAAGAAAATTATTTTAAACTTTTTTAATTTCATGTTAGAGAAGATGATGATTAAAGAGAACAAATATTTTTGTTTTTATTTTTTTACGTTTTCTTACTATTATTAAAAGAATTTTCTAGATTTTACTTCTTTAATCATGAGTACACCACTATCAATTCTAAAATCACTTTATTATCTTCTTAAAGCTTCACATTCACGTATTATAGTGATTATAACATTAGCAACATTATTATCTTGTATCATCGTATTTACCATGGCTGGCAAAACTAATTCTATGGCTTTACAAGCATTTTGTTCTTTATGTATGTTTGATTTACTTTTTATTGGTACTGCTCTTATTTCAGCATGGAATATTGAAAATCGTACGAAAAAACTGCATCATAAAATTCAATCAACATCTAATGATAGTTCAACATCACTTTTTATTCCCACACAAACAATTGTAACATTTTCATATGGTACAACTCGTTTTGAAGTTTTAGCTGTATTTACATCAACAATGCTTTCAATATTAGGAGCATTTTTTATTCTTAAAGAATCTATTGAAAAATTTTTTGAACAAGAATCAATACATACGGAATATTTTATGTCAGCATCAATTATAACATGTATTATGCATCTTATTGTTATTTATTTTGTACGAAATCAATCTTTTGATCATGTTATATCAGCTAGTTCATCAAGTTGGTTACAAGAACATGTTAGTGATATATGTCAAAATCTATGTCATAATATACCTGGCTTAAGTCCTCTTCTTTTACCACGTATTAATCCATTAGCATTACTTTGTTGGTGTGATTTATCTATTGTTTTATCAGATTCATTTCTTTTAAAAATGGGTTATGGAAATTTTGTTGATACATTATCATCATTATTTATAGCCTTTATGACATTTGGAACAATGGTTCCCATGGCAATATATAGTGGAAAAGTTTTATTACAAACAACACCACCACATATGATTGGACAATTAGATAAATGTTTACATGAAGCATCGAGACTTGATGGAGTTTTAGAACTTCGAAATGAACATTTTTGGGCTTTATCATTTGGAATACTTGTTGGATCATTACATGTTCGTTGTCGGTAAGAGAGAGAGAGAGAGAGAACTCGATATTTTTGTAATTTAATATATGAATATATGTGGTTTTTATTTATGTTCGTATAGATAAAGGATAAAAATTTTATTTATTTTAAAAGCTATACTATTAAATTCTGGTTTTTGTTTTTGATTTATTCTAATTGATTTTAAGAGAAAGGAAGATAAATATATACAAGATAATATAAGTTTCTACCATAACAGTCGTCTAAACATTCGTAAAATATTATTTTGATTATTGAAATCAAGTTTGTCGAATAGAAAATGCATTACTGAATACAATGATGCTGTTCAAGTGGTCTTTTTCATGTCACAGTAAACGAATAGAGGACAGAATCATTTACATAGTAAAACGAATTTAATTCATGAGAATAAAAACTTGTAGCATTCTCACATATCTTTGTTTTATGCTGTCGAAAAAATGATTAGAATAAGTCAGAAAGATCTTCTACTTGGGTTATTATGGAGGATTTAAGGGAATCTCTTCTCCAGAATCGATTTACCATTTAGAACGGACCGTTTGGGCTGAGATTTACATGAATGCGTGGTCCTAGTGAGAAATTCTTATGGTAAAAATTTCAGCCCGATAGGTCATACTAGACCGAACTTCCAGCTTGTTTATGTGGCTTTCAGGAGAATCGTTATAATTCTATCACTATAAGAGGTACAGAGCTCAGGCTGGTTTCAAATTAAAGCTACTCTCTGTGCGCAACTTTTATTCAAACAGAATGTTTGAAATTTTCTTCCATTCATTTTTTTATGAGCAGTTTAATAGACTTGGTGTTCAAAAAAAGGTGATCCTCGCGACGCTAAATTCTACTTTTCTCAGGCCAAGAATTCAATATAACACATCTGGTCGGACAAAAGTATACTCTCATTGAGACCTTTAAAACAAAAAAAATAATGGTTATACCTTGAATCAGATGGGAGTTTTTTCAATTTTCCTGTTTGGAAATCATGTCTCGAAAAAATCACTAAAGAAGTTTTAGCAATAGATTTTTTTCATTCAAATTCCAAAAAACAGTCATATTACAATTGCATATTTTTAATATTTTTTAGTTTAAAGTACGTAACGGATGAAGATAGCTAACGCTATCTATTATGCTGGTTAATATAAAAATAAATGAGTTTTCTGAGAAGAAGATCCTTAACGTATTCATAATTGACATAGAATCTCTATACATCTCCATTGCAAAAAAAGAAATCACCTAACATATTATAACTGAAAACTGTTGTATGTTATAATAACAAACATATATCTAAAATATAATTAAAGGAGCCTGAGAGTGTTCACCATAGTGAACTTCATTGTCTTAATATAAAATCCTTGAAAGCTAAAAGTTCGTAGGCCAATATCTGCTCTTATGCATGTTGATCTCAGAGTGCGGTGTCCTATTAATTTGGGACAATAACTTTTTCATTCTTATCAGATTGATAACAGATAGAATAATAGATAATGGAAGTAGATAGTCGGAAAAGATATTAGAGAGCTATTTCTGTATTACCACATAATCAACACATCAACCACGTAATTTATTGAAAGAAAAACAAACGTCCATAAACAAATTTATGTGTTTATTCTATAATTTTGGGACATCTTGTACCATTTACGAAATAAAATATTTTGCAAATATTTTAGGGATAACCAGCATCTCTTGAATAAGATTTAAGAATAGGATACCTATCCTGTCTTCTCTCAGAATTACATCGGACTAGAACATTGCTTAGGAAAATTCATATGAGAAGAAGTTAAACACATAATTTAAAAAACAAATGATTTCTCTCGAAAAAATCAAAACCTATTAAGCAGAAGCAATTAGTTAGAATTAGAATTGTAGAGCGCTCAATTCTGTATGGAAATGAAATATTACAATTAGTAAAATCTCATCTATGCCTTTTTACTAAAGAATTAGTTTCTACGGAAAATCGACATTAGTCGGAAAATCGTTGGTTTTTCTCATAGAAATATTAGTTTCTAGTACGCAATAAAAAACTTGATGGGAAAAAAGTGAATGTCGTAAAAGATTTCGCGTGTAAAATACATGCGGAGATCATTATCCTAAATTTCTATCGGAAAAATTTTATCTTTTAAAGATTATCAAATGTCACATCATTTGATGCAGTTTTTCATGTTGATTCTAAATATGTTCTTATTTTTCTCTTAAAATACTTCTGAGATCAAAAAGAACGTGGAAAAATTTTATCTTAGTCCAGAAGCATTTATGCTAACTGAGTAGATGTGTCAGATTGAAAAAAACTTTCTATGAAAGTTTCATTGAATTTGAACCAGTGCTAAAGTGTACACACTGACTACATTGGTATGTGTTCTTCTGGAGATATTGAATATCTAGAAACAATCATGAGACACAAGGACAAGTAACAAAGTCCAGTGTTTTCAGCATTCGATGTCTGAAGAACAGAACATTATTTTGAGCTCAAATTTTCATAGTATTCCAAGGTTCACGAGACTTACCTATAGGCAAAATATCAGTTCAATTGATGAGTCATACTTTTCATAAGATGACAGAAGCTTGATCATTTTTGGGTCTAGAATTTTCTCATCGTACAAAATATCACTTTTTCCATCAAATGTTCGTATTGTTGTCTATTATGATCCGAGAAGGAAATCCCGAATACATATTCGGAAAAAGCAAAAAAAAGTCTGATTCTAACTAATTGTTTCAAATGACTATATTTAAATGACCAGAAAAAAAAACAGATCTAAATTGTTTTCAGCTGTTATTCATCCTAATTTATTATAAATAGTAATAAACTTTTGGAAGAGAATAAAAAAACTCATTTACAAAACAAAAGCAAATTTTGTTTTTTTGTTTAGACGAGATGCTAATGAACAATTTGTCTTAGCACATGTATGGAATAAATTAGCAAATGTTGTTCAAATTTTAACTATTCATATATTCAAAGATGATTGGCATCGTCATCAAGCTCATACATTTATGCAATCTCAAACTAGTAACTACGTTTCATCATCGGATAATAATGGTTTTGTTATTGTTACATAATAAGAAAAAAATAAAACGAACATAATATTTATTTGTTTTTTTGTTAAAAAATAAATCAATAAATCTATTCTAATCTCAATAATTATTTGACAAAACAAAAAAAATATCCTATAGAATTTTAAATAAATAATAAAGATAAATGTATTATTTAAATATTTTCACTAACCTAACGAATATTTGTTTATAAATTTCATAGAATGATTGATATATTTATGTCACCTGTGCTCAACAGATGTCGTCAGTTTTTTTTTTTGTCTTCATTTTTGAACGATTCGTTGTTTAAAAACCAATGTACATTAGTAAAACCTGTGCGTGTATGTTTATGTGTCTTTTTTTTTTGTCTTTTCTATGTTTTGTTTTAAATACAATGATGTTTATTTTTCTAGTGTGATTATTGAAAATTTAACTATTTTTAAGACTCTCATAAATTCATATGTCAGTTTGCAGTCGAGATAACATACCAGTATTTTTTTTTCTTTTAGAACAAAAATCAAAGTAATACATGACAGTTTTTTGTTGAATAGACAAGTCTACTCGATTAACTTTTAATTTAATATTCTTGCATATTTGACTGTTACTAACGTCGAATAGAATCAACTGTAAATTTGTATTCAAGAGCGTATGAAAGTCTTTCTCTCTTTCTTTTTTTTCCTACTATTTTTATTAGCAAGTAGATTGCCCGTTCTCTTCATGTCTGCTTTTCCTTTTTTTTCCCTTGGTAATAGTTTCCGAAGGCTGTAAACGAGAAGGATAGACAGAATAGAACAAGGCTGCAGGCGTACATCAAAATTCGTTAGATAAGAAAAAGACCCAATGCCGCCGACGGCATCATTTTTATGCTCTTATTATGACTGATGTAATTTTTGTTATTATTGTTTGTTGTTAATATGTTCTACATTTCTATCTATAATTCAAGTATATTATGATAAGAAATTCATTCAATTTGAAATGAATCGTCAATAACACCCAGCCGTCAGTTTAATTTTTTTATAGGAATAGAATCAATGAAATACAATTTCTTTCTTTTGTCTTCATTTCTTTTTTTTTTCTTATCTTTTTATTTTTCTTTAGGCAAACTTATATACCCTCGGCAGTCAATTGAATCAAAGTAATGTTATACTGCATAATAATAAGCACAGAAAAAGAAAACAATAAAGGTCGATAATCATTTTGTTTCTTTTTTTTGCTTTTCAGATTTTTTTATTATCTTACAACGAACAAAACATGTCGTAGAATAACAAATATGTACGCTTATATCGAATTATCGAATATAGCTCGAACTGATTCAATAATTCAATCACTATCATGGATGAGTTATATTCCAAATTCGTCTTCATCATTAAACAATGATAATAATAATAATAATAATAACAATGATCAACCAAAATCATCATCATCAATGAATTTTCATGAAGGATGGTTAGCAACGGGTAATACAAATCATATTGTTAGTGTAACATATACATCAATAAAATCAGATGAAAATTCTATTATACCTGATCGTACAAATTTTAATTTACGTGCACATCGTACAGATATTCGTCTTGTTTCATGGAATATTCCATATCAAAAATTAGCAACAATTGATGAAAAAGGTGTTATTTTTGTTTGGGTTAAACATGATAATCGTTGGTCATTAGAATTAATTAATGATCGAAGTCATCCAGTTACTGATATGTCATGGTCACATGATGGACGTATGACTATAATTTGTTATGAAGATGGTTTTATACTTGCCGGTTCTGTTACGGGACAACGCTATTGGTCAACAGTTTTGAATATTCCTCAGGCAAAAGTTTCAGCTGTTACATGGATGCCTGATGTTTCACAGTAAAAAAGATACAAAGAAAGATTTTAAAAAAACCCATTTGAAATAATTTGTTTTAGTGTTATCCTTGGTACAACAGCAGGACAATTAATTGTCATGGATCATCATGGAAATACAACAGAAGTTCATTCTTTATCAACACAATCGATTCGACAATTGATTTATTCATGCAATAAATTCTATCCAGAAGCACCAGATAATAGTAAATAATTTATTATATTTTTTCTTTCAATTGTTTTTTTTTTTTTTTTTGTAGATGCAACAAAATTTATTAATGATGATTATATACTTGCATGTAGTCTTGAAAATGGGCAAGTACTTTTTCTTAATAATTATCATGATCCATCACCGATTACTGTTTATACAGATCTTCAAAGTAAGATTATATATAGAAAACGAAATAATTATTTTCTTTTTTTTTTTTCTTTTTTATTTAAATAGATATTAAAATGGATTGGTCATCATCAAATGAAATACTTGCTGTTGGTGGTTACAAAAATTTAAATGATATAAACTATTTAAATCAAATTATATTTTATACTCGTCGAGGAGAATTTTTATATCGTGTTCATCTTCCACAAACGGTTTGTAACAAAAAAAAATGATAATTCTATACTAGGCATTATCTCTTTAGCTAGACGAAAAATTTTGTTAACTCTCAATTGATTTAATATATATATACTAGAATTGACTACAAAAAATGTTTCATTTAGCTTTTTATAGTGAATAAATTATATAAACAAAAATCTAATTATATAAAATGATCAGAGACGGGTAGGTCAATAGATATAATGTCAAAATCGAAATTATTAAGAAGAAAAATTTTAATTAAACTTAATAATGACTAAAATAGAGAACCTAGAGTTCGTGCGAACCCCAACCAGTTTTGTCACACAGTTATAAGTACACAATATTAGATGAAACTATTCATCTTCCAGATATATCCCATACTAAAGACTAGTAAAGTATGTTAATAACATCTGCCAGTTACGACCAACTGTTATTTATCTAAGTAGATCATTCTAAAGTACATGTGAACGAACTCTTGTTAACTACCTGGGGTTTGCTCGAGTCCCAATGACATTCATAACATTTAATCAAATCATGTCCTTGTAACCATACGTTGGGAATATTTAGTACAGTACATTATTAATACCAGTCAATCATAGACAGCTGTTTTTTTTATTATAGAACAGTTCAACGTATATACACATAGACACGGCCTCAAACTTGCGTCCGAAAATTTTCAACCTGATGACTTTTAATAGTGATTTATAATTGCAAATGCCTCGAATGATAAGACTATCTTCCTAAACATCAGAAGTTTTCTTTATATACCAAAACATATACAGAAATTCAACCAAGGTTAATCTTGTTGATAATGTCTTATTCCCTGCTGACATTTATTGATTTCTGTGAGGCTCTTTATTTGTCAAAACAGATACCAAAAAATAAATTATTGCATATCAATAGATAGAGAATTTTGTACTCGACGATCCCCTTTCGATGGTGAAGTTTACAAAAGAAAGACTTAAAACTGATAACTGTTGGTATTTTTTATGTGTACAGTTGGAAAATTATATTTTCAAAAGGCAGACTTGTTCTATCAAACATTTATCAGACGTAGATCTTAATGTATAAAGATTAAATTGAATCATAAAAATATTTAAGTTCTGAATTGGAAAATAACTGTGGTATAGATCTACCAAAAAAAGAACTTTTTAGAAGAATTGAAAATTCATTGAAATCTTTAATTAAAAAAATTGTCAACAGTTTTATTGAGTTTGAAATTCTCTATCCTTAGACATAACAAGGAACTTTTTTATGGTTACGAAACATGCACTGAAATTTACTGCGAGTATCCTCTGAGACATTCGTTATATTTAAATATTCGGCTTCGAAAAATATTTCATAATATTTAAAGACATATCGTTTTTGATCGTATACTTCATAAGATTGGTGGTAAACCGGGCAAAATTAGCGGTTTTGCTATCGGTTTTTATCACATGAAAATTCTTTAAATCCCGTGGCCAGAACTTTTGCTATGCCCTAAGTATTAATATATTTTATTAAATGTATTTAATATGACTTCATTTAAAAACGATTATTGAAATGAAAGATTGTTCATTCATTATCAAAGCTTTAAAAAAAAACCTGTTGTTTTAGTATTTTTTCTTTTTTTTTTTTAATAATTTCGCGCATTCCAATCTCAAGTGAACAACAAATAGTAGTCCTAAAGTATGTGATCTAAACTGTCTTCTATTCTTTATCCGACCGCCATGACATGTATCCGCAAGGTACTGTCTGTAAACCACAGTATCATCCGCCATGAAATGACCCTGGGCAAATCACTAACGACTATTTGTCTCGGATCACTCGTTCGCTAGTATTCTGATTGCATTATTATTATATACGTTTGCTTTTGTAGCTAGTTAGTGTGTATACCAAGGCTCAAGAATTCTACTCAGAGTTACAGTAATAGGTATTCATCCTTCTTCCTATACTTTATATGATATAGAATTCCAAATATTTCTAAAACTTTCTTATTACAATTCTATTGATAATAAATCATTAGGTTTTTTTTTTAGACTCAACCATTAACTGCTTTATGTTGGGCACATGGAAATGGTAAGTATAAAACTAAAAATTTCATATTTATTCTTAATATTGTTTTTTTTTTGTTCTTTCTTTTATCTAGAAATTGTTTTTGTTGCATGTGGTTCATTTGTTTATACAATTTGGATAATTCATAAATCATTACCGTCCATGTTTACATTATGTCAGATGAAAATTAAACAAAGTTTATTAAATAATTCTTTACAAAATTTTGATAAACTTTATTTACCAAATAATCTAAAACAAAATCTTTTTTATTTATTTCGTTCAACAATAAAAGGTTTTTTACCTGATCATAAAAATTTACGTTCATTTGTATGTAATCCATTAAAATCTCATCTTCGTTTACAATGTACAATGAAACGTATTGATAATGAAATTGAAAATATTTCATCAACACAAACAACAAATAATTTATCAGGAGCTATTTATGTTTTATATTTAGAATATCTTGGTGGTCTTATACCATTATTAACAGCAAAACGTATATCAAAAATTTGTCCAGATTTTATTATATTTGATCCACAAATAAAAACAAATGATTTATCATTAAATTCATCATTATTAACACCGTCATCTAAATTATTAACTAAAAAAAAATTTTTATCATTAAGACGACATTCAAATACATTAAATAATCTATCAAATATTCAACAATCAAAATTTGTCAATAATAATAATAGTAATAATCGTACAGTTTTAATTGGTAATCGAAATTCAATATATGTTGCTGAAACAAATGTTCATCATGGTAATGAAAATATTACAATTACAAAAAGTAGTTCTGGTTGTAGTTCAGAAAATGATTCCGATGATGAAAATGATGGAAATATGAGTGATTTACAAGAAAAACAATCAAGAAAAAAAACAATAATCAAAGTAAATAAACTAAAATACTTTCATGAAACAAAAATTATTAAACATATTGAAAAATACAGTCCTAAGCAAAAGTAACTGTCATCTATAAAATTCTACTTTTGACTAGATTTTTCGTCCCCTTAGAATGTATGAAAAATCGACTTCACACTTTGTACAAACAAAGTTTTTAATGAGATAAGTTGATTGTGCAAGTCTTAGCTTTCTTTTTAGTATTGTCTTTCTGGAAATGTTAATATATGAACAAAATTTACTTTTACACATAAGAGAATAATATCTAAAGCTAGGAGATACTAGAAAAGTTATAACTGGTTCAATCAACTGATCTCATTAAGAACCTTATTCGTGTAAAGTTTGAAGCCGATATTTCATATGACTTGAGAAGACGAAAAATTCAGTCAAATTTCGATATTTCAAGAACAAACGTCCAGAAAATCAAACCATTGCAGACTTTTCTATTATTAATCAAGGAAACATTGTCTCGGTCGAAAAGCAATTTGATACCTGGAGAAGTTCTCTTGTGAATATATTTTTCACTAGAGAAAGACAATGTCTGAATCACATGTAAACCAAATTAAAGTTTGCAATCAGAATTTATTATCATACGTAATGCATTCAAAATATTATAAAGAATAGTACCACTTCATGAATGACAGCTAGTTTTTTTCAAGACTGTAATCATTATAAATTGTTTCCTTAAGAAATGATGCGTCGGACGTAACAGAGAACTTAATTAATCAATTTCTTGCAACATCGGAATTTTAATTAGTATAGTTTATATCGAGTTTTAAGGAATTTGAGCTGAAAAATCTTAAAAGATTGTAGTCAGCATTATTTCTAGGCATCTAAAAATCTTTTTCTAAATCCTTGTAATCATTTTGATTTTTTTCAAAAATTCTTTAAATGAGACACAATAGAAGATTTGGAGTCTTCTATTGTGGAAAACAGTATTTTATCCGACGTAGCAACGCTCTTCCAAAGATCGAGTTGACCTTTTCAAAATTCCATGACCTATGTGTTTTCAAAAAATAAATATTCGCCTTCTGCAGGTTCTTAAATCGTCTCTCTAAAAGACAAAATCAGGATAAAACACTGACGACAAGAGATTTACTTTATGATATTTAAATTCTATTTTCTTTTAGAATAAGAAATTATGTACCATAGCAGCTAATATATGGGGCACACGTTTTAAATTTTATGGTCATTCAAATCATTTACCTGATGTTTTGGGTAGTGTAACTTATAAAACTTCATTTTTACATTTACAACCTCGTCAAATGACTGTTAGAGTAGCTAATAATTATAATATTCGTAAACAAAAACAACAATCAATAATTAAAACAAAATCTAAGAAAATTATAAATTCTTCAAATCGTAAAACAAAACAAATAAAACGTAATAAAATTGATGAAATTATTGATAATGAAATAAAACATTCATCAAATATTCCTATTGCTCCAATGTCTCCACAATTATCAAATATTCGTTCAAGTTTACTTCTTTATCAACAACCACTTTCATCATCTATATATGAATCTAGACAATCATCACGAATAAAAACTAAATATCTATCACAAAGATCATCTCGTCGTTCACAACGTTCATCTATAGCAACACCAACAATTCATCAACGACAAACTAATATTGATTCATCAGCTGCAAATTCATCTTCAACATCACCAATTAATTTAAGTCGTTCAACATCTCCGGCAGCATCCGTTACAAATTTTATTCGTCCTATATCACCACCTTGTATACAAGTTAAACAACCAATATCACCAAAATTTTCTCGAACATCTTCAACAACTATAACAAATTATCAAAGATATTATCGTAATTGTTCACCACAAACAACAGTATCATCTATGACAAATAATATTGATGCATCAATTGCTAGTGCCACAACAACATTATTAATTGATGATTCATCTGGTTATGATAGTAATGAAAATCCAAATAATCAAACAATAATTAATACAATTTCACATGTACCAGAAAATTGTTTTGAACCAGAAACATATCGTAATTTATATCCATTTAATAGTAATCAACAAAAAAAATTAAGTTTAAGTGATCCAACATTAAATCAAACAAAAAAACATTCACAACAACAACAACAACAAGAACAACAACAAATCATATTAAATTCAACAAAAACTAATCAATATTTTTCTATTTCATCTTTACAACAACAAACATCAAAAGAAGATGAACATATACATACTGATAATGGCGATGATGATGATGATGATGAAACTCAAAATCTCAGTTCGCATCAACAAACATTATCAAAAGAAAAGATTACAACGACTAATGAATCGCGCAAAGTGAGTATCATTCAAAACAATGTAGAAGATACCATTGAGTTTAAATAAATAAATTGCCATACAATCACAGCAAAATACAAAGGAATTGACTTATCTCTAAAAAAAAAGAATAACACTGTTGAATTTTTGCAAATAGTTTATAATTGAAATTTAAAATAAATTAATGTTTTTTTTTTCTTGTTTCAGAAATATACAAGTCCACGACATCGTATGATGACATGTACTAGTGGAATGAATGATTCTTTAACAAAATTATCACCATCATCAGATGTTGATCAATTAGATAATCAAAATGATACATCATTTTATGTAATGCAAAATCGTCCACCGTAAGATTTATAATAACAAAAAATTTGCAAAAAGAAAAAAGTTATTTTCATGTATTTAAGCTTGTGGAATGAACAATCTCAAGTATATCAATTAGATTTTGGTGGTCGTGTAACACTTGAATCAGCAAAAAATTTTCAAATTGAATTTAAAGGCAAACAAGTAATGAAATTTTAATAAATTAAATATCATAAATTTATTTTATTCAAAAGGTTATTCAATTTGGTCGTATTGAAAATAATTGTTATACACTCGATTTTGAATGGCCTTTTTCACCATTACAAGCATTTGCCGTTGCTCTTGCTAATATAACTCAACGTCTTAAATAAGATTATATCTCTGTGGTTTTTCCTTCATATTTGTTTTTTTTTTTT